GACACGCGACAACATATTACAATAGTCTAGCTTAGATGTCAAAGACTTACCAAAACAAGAAGATCCAGGTGGAAGAGTTAGTGATGATTCCGTAGAATGCCCCCCTTATATACCACAAAATTGTCTAAATTAATTTAGAACTTAACAATGGAAATTAAACAAACTGAAATTGAACAATTGAATAATTGAGGTCAATCAATCAAACATATTTGGTAATTGTCTAAACCTGCCCCAGACAGTCTGGCGCCAGACAGGCAGAGAATGTTGACAATTGATTTTGATTGGGGTCATTAGGTTACACTCACAGTCATTCATTTGAGTCAGGCATAGTTTACGCATAGCCATAAGCGTGCCCGAGTTCGCGCGCAAACCTCACATGATTTTGAGAATATACTTGTGAATGAATGTGGATTTAAAATTTTAATGGAGTTTGAACATTTGTATGGGTTTGTATTGGACGAGATCTAAATATAGCTGGTCTTTAAAAAAGTGGCCAAAAAAATGAGCCATATTCCAGACGTGTTTTTCAGTATTAAAAAAGTAGAAAATTGATATAGGGGTGTATAGGTCGAGAGCTGGGTCTTTAAAAAAGTGGCCAAAAAAATGAGCCACTCATTTTTCTCATTTTTCCCCTATAAAAAGTGCCCTAAAAGTGCCTCTAAAACGCCGAAAGTGGGGTATCTTTGTCCTATTATATCTACTTACGTTTAGGTATTTTCAAAGAGACGTAGGTAATAACAAGTACAAAAACGTTTGGTCAAACGCTTTATATTTCCTATATCTTAAAAATTTTGTCCTTTCTTGATTGAAATTATTCCAGGATATCTCACAATAAACACTAGGAATTCATTTCAAACCCTTTTGGATGACCAAGACAAACCTCTTTTTTTTCAAGAACAAAAATACATTGTTAGAATACGAATAAAATAAAGTAGTTAGTAGGAGCTAAGCGGTGAAGGTGATGTATTTGCGGTCAGCAAATAATGGTGACGTATTGACTTGTGGCCAGTGATGGATTGTGCTACGTTTGTATCGGACAAAGAGATTAAACTCAGGCCATTATAACAGATTGAACAACATTCGTCATTAAACACTCTTTTTGCGAATTTCTCTATAAGGTCTCATGGTCAGATCTGGAACCAAGACAGATTTTCTTTTTCGGTTTGATGTTCCCGGAGGCCAAGACACCATCAGTTCATTTTCAAATTAATTGATATAGATATAGCCTAACCTCATAAAAAATAGGGTTTTAAACATTTCCATCTAACAATCGAAAATTGACAAATTCTGTTCAAAATTGCTGGAGGATTTCAAGTATTTGCCTCCTGGTCTATTCAAGTAAACGAAAAAGTCTACGCGTAATTTTTAACTGCTATCTTCAATTAGGCAATATTTTTCCCGTAATGGTACATCGAGATGAATTATTAATTTTTTTATAGTGACATGATACCTAGTACTGTAACTCATTCTGTACAATATGGTTATGTATAATCATTGACTTTTGTCAAAGGTATAATCAAGCACAGTTTCGCACAATATCAATATCCTATTTTCAACATCACAGACAATAGTCAGCTTATTGCGTATTGCTAAGCCTGACAGACCGCACCTCCGATAACCTTATCAGTCGCACTATTGACAATAGAGGAGCCGCCCATGGGTATGGCAATAAGCTATTCGCTAAGTTAATCACATTTCCAGCGTACTTCGTCAGAGTTGAAACTGTTAGAACGGAACCCATTCCAACTACTCGATAACAACAAACATTGGTAAACTGGCACTATTTAGCAGGAACCCCACTATCTCCGTCTGGGACCGACGCCATCAACACTTTTAACCCATTGGTCCGACGGCATCCGTCAGTAACCAACGAGAATTTAGATGTTTCAGGCCTTTGCTGCTGTAGTAGTAAAAGTCATTATTTGTCCATCCTTTGGTTCTTTGTTCGCATAATCTTATTCTATAATAGTTGGTCCACAATTTAAGAACCAATCACCACTCGAAGTTTCGAATACATAGAAATAACCGTCGGAAGGTGTTGAATAGGAACTAATCGGATCGGAGAGAGTCGGACTAGTAGCATTGACTATTGGAATAGTCAAAGCTAGTAGGTTAGTCCATATAAAGCCTTGTAAAGTGATTTTGACGGAAGGCGTCGCACAATTTGTCACATTGTGTTATATATATCACACAGTAGGCCTCGTTAACTGGTCTACAAGTGTTATCACTGCATCGTTTAGTGACTCGCGTGGGAGTTGTTTGTAAACATCAGTTAGCTTGGCCATGAACTACAACTGGACCTACTACAGGTCCGACATAATCGCTTCCAATGTCCTCGGGCCACAATGTTTACTATAGTTTTGTGTTGTAGTTTTTAAGGGAAATTAAATCTGTTTTCCATGTTAGTGGTATTCTTTAGATATTTTTTCTAGCTTTTACTTCAAACAATTATCACCGACATCTCGTCTCGGAGTTCTTTACGTCGGTGGTCTCAATTAACACTGTTGTTCAAAGTTGTTATGATTCAATAATAACTGCGCTTAAACCTAACGATGACTCGGATAACCCAACTTAATATTATTTAAAAGAAAGGCAATAGTTACTGAATAAAGATAACATTATTTTATCACTTTATTAACAAAACGTACGGAGAGAGCTCTGTTTCTCTAGGTCTACGATACTACACACGAAGAACCACGTCAATATTCAATAATCCTCAACTTATCCTCTTATCTATAGTAATAAATGTTAATAGTACAAATCTTTATATTTGTTGCGTTATCTTTATCTATGACCCGTCAATATTTGCGAGTTATCTCAAACATGTCTAAATCACGTGCGATCTTCATACAAATCCCCTCAGTGTTCGTACAATCCAGTCGCACAAACATTTCATGGTGAATGCAACGGAGATTATCTTAGGTACGGTCTTTTTGCATTTTGTTCAAATATTAAAGAATTATTTCGTGATCGTTGGTTTTATCACGGAATAATAAATACAGACGAAGCCGTCTCTTGCCCACAAGTTTAATTAATAAAACGTAATAAATCCACTAGCGTGGATACACTATAATAAAGTAGCCAACTTACTAATTTACCTTTTTAACGTAGCCTATATGCGACATCCACTCTTAAGTTTTTTTCTTCTTTTACTTTTTTATTTGGAAATTCATCTTGATTAACGTCAAGTTATAAGTTAAGCCATAGATAAAACATACTCCCTTAGGTTAAGCTTACTAATGTACGACTGAATAGGCAATCATTCACCTCTGCATGCTATCTGGTGTTAACTTAATGCATTTTATCACGAGGGTCACATTATACACAACCAATTGCCTTGACCTAGACATCAGTAAGTTCCTTTTCTATGAATAAATAATCACATTGTGACCTAAACCTACTGATCAGAATAGCTACATCGATCAGATCAAAGGGAGCTGTGAGTTATTTTAAACTTCAATCACAGTATTGTATTTTTATCTCTTATGTAGGCAAAACAAATTATTTTACAGTTTTAAAATAGGTAAACACAGTACGAAGTGAGTTGGATCATTGACTATATAACACTGTAGTGTTATATAGTCAATGGTTGGATACATGTCAGGTCAATTAAAAGCATCAGGTTGTTTTACGTTGGCAAGTGCAAACAAACCCCCCTAAGTTATTACAAATTAACTGGGACTGGAAACTGCATAAAAATAACTTGGCCTAATCCAATTTAGATGCTAAATTTTATATCAAAGGTTTAACAAGTAAGTTACACCTAATAGTACTAAACTCTTTAAATAATAGGCTATTTAAATTAATTTAATTAGTGACTCAAATTACAAATTTATAACATAACTGTTGACAGCATTAAAGCTAACATTGTTACAAAGACTAGTTATTGGATAGAGACACTAAACTTAGCTGTTTCTAAGCTATGCAGTTCTTTCTAACTGTAAATCAAGCCGATTAGCCTAAATTGTTTTAATTCCAATAAAAGTCCTCACTTAAATCGATGTTTTAACCATCTATGTTAGGTCTAAAAGTAAATTATATCGACAAATTTGGGAACGGCAGTTCAAAATAGGCATTTCTTTACTTTGATGTTTCCAAACGAATAAAAAATTTGCTCCCATCACCTTATTTGGCTTAGCCTATTTGAACATTTTCCCTCTGGCACTTTTAGGGTAACCACCTATTTCACCCTGAAAATCACGAAAAGCGCCGAGAATAACCGGCCATTTTCGGCACTGTGCGATTTTAGTTTACTTTAAACCCTTATTTTCAAAGTAGCCTAAGTTAAACAATTCTGAAAAATGCCTAAGGAAATCTGTGTTTAAACTAGGTCTAAATAATAAAAAAAACATGAAAACGAGGGAAAAAGAATTTTAGACTAAAAAGATTTCAGAGTTTTTCACGATTAACTTACGCCCCAAAAGTGCAGAAAAAAAAGAGTTCAAAACTGGCTAAGTACTTAATGAGAAATATTTTTTTTTCTTAAGAATTCATTTGGAGCCAATGTAGACGAATACCGTTACCTACCCAAAATGACATGCTGATTGGGTGGAGGTAAATTAACTGTTAGTGCTACTGAGGCTTGCGAGTTGTGGTTGAAATAAAAAACAAGACTGCAAAGGCAAACAACCAAGTTAGGCTAGGCTACACATTCTGGTGAAATAGGTAACTTAGGATTTAACTCTCTTCAGCAGTTTTAACTTAAGTTAACCTTAGTTTTTGTAAACAACTTCTATCAAGAGCTAGAATGTTGGTTGAACTTCGGGGATGTTTTGGATTGTATCCAGGGTATTGCAATTATTCTCTTCAACCAGTTTCGGAAGCTTTTAACCTTTAACCAACCAAACTTGGTGATGGTGAAAAAAACGCATGAAGGTTTACTAATCGAATCGATAGTTTCAATCGATATTAGCGTAGCCCAGTTAAGAAACTGTACCCCTCAATTCTATGAGATCTAACCTAAAACCTAACGCCAAACATACAGTATAAAATTTACATACCTTTCCGTGGAGAGTCATCCCTTGATGGAGCTCATCCAGCGTGGGTCTGTAAGCAGCTTGTATGGACATAATATTCCTGTAATTATCCATACGGGGGAGCGCTTCCCTTGTGAAATGCCGGAAACTTTTAACATATGAGCCAGGAGAATCGTCCTCCTCATCGTACAATTCGGCGAGCTCTTCTTCGTCGGCATCGTCTACAGTCGATACCCGGTTGACTTGAAACCTAGGATGACGATCTTTCATCTCCAATCCACGACTTTTTTCACCACCACTGTCGCGAGTAGCCATAGTTACACTTTGTCTTTGTCACAAATAAAATTGCAAGTCGAATTTGATCAAATACACTCGCCACAGCAGACAGCTACACCACCTCGCGCAACTGACAAACTAGCAAAGTAAACGATTTAGAATTTAGTCGCTAGGAGCGCTGGATGTTGGCGGAATCGGGGTTCGTTTGCAAACAGCAACGCAGTGTTACCAACAAGCTTCCTTCATAGCATTATATTTCCCAGGTACAAATTATTGTACCACATATAAAAGAGCGGTAATCATATAAAAACCATCATGCATAACGACATGCATACATACATACATACATACAGGTTCCTCTTGTGCAAAAAGACCATCATGTTCCATTAAACAATTGACTATTTATACTACACTAATAGTGGTACGTATTCATGCATAATTAACAATAAAATCATGCATAATAAATCATTCATACAAAAAAATTTTATCAGCTGGTCTTTATCGCATTTATAACACTAGAATTGAGTAAAATACCCCGGCCGCAACAAACCTGCCAACTAAGCGGATTTCGATTTTTCTGAATTGATTTTCAATTAAATCTATTAAAATACCTAGGTTTGATGCTACAAGGGAACTATTGAAGTGTGTTTTTAGTAAAATATTAATAGCTTAGTATAAAATAAATAAATTTGCCAAGTTTGATCAAGATAAATCCATAACCAAGCAAACTACAACATTTTACAATATTCTCCGTAAAAATGACATGGGAATTTTAAATTTACACCTTTTTTGAATTTTATCCGTTATTGTACCAATAACAGAAAAAAAATCACTTTCATATCCTAAATCATTTGTTTTTTAAGCTCTTTAAAAAGGTCTAGAGAAAAGTTAAGAAATTTTGCGTTTTGATGGTCAAAAATGAGAAAACCCGTTTTAACCCCATAAATCCCCCCCCCAAAAAAAACCCCGTTCCCATGGTCCGATCATGCTGGTTGGCGAACTCATTCCGGATTATCACGCCTAACACCTTTAAACCAAATTTCATCAAAATCGTACGAAAATGACTCGAGTTATCACTTTCACGGACACACACACATATATAAATTTGAACGAATGGTGTTTTAGGCCTCTGGGGACATCAAAATGCAAAATGAAAAAGTAAATAGGTCCCGGGCCTATAACACCTACGGTAATAGCTACTTCCCTGTAGGGAAATTCGCTAAAAGAGATTTTATACTAACTTGCTTTAGTTTTAAGGGTGGCTTGCTTTGCCATCGATAATATAATTAGAAACCGATTTACTGCATTAATAATATAAATGATCAATGATTATTTATTCTCATTGTTCTGCTATCAGATGTCGACAGGGAGAGAGAGAGAGAGAGAGCGCCTCGGTACAGTTGGTGTAAAGTTGATTACATAACCAACAAATGGCAAGCATTTGTGACCCACTAAAGGTGGAATTGGACACGTAAAGTAAAAAAAAAATATTTAAGTTCTGTAGTTAGAATGTTTTAGTATCAGCATTGATTGATACAGTACTGTTGTGTATAAATGGTACAGTGTCAGCATTAAGTATAGTGTATACAACTGTGTATAATGGTACAGTATCACAGTTGAGTATAGTGTATACAGTACTATGTGTATGGTAGGCTACAGTATCAGCATGTATCAGATATCACTCAGAAAATTGCATAGGAGCCCTATAAAAATATCCAATTCGTCCAGACACGAAATCTATCTTTGTTTGAAGCAAAATGGAAATGTTTTGCTGATTCGTGTTAACGATTCTAACTTTCTATGACAAACAATTTATGAGGGAGATGCAACTAGTTTTAATAAATTACAACACTGTCCAAAGTTGTATCAGTGATATTGATACCAAAGCTATTAAACTGTCGGCATAATAGTAATCAAATCATTGATTCATTCGACCTACTAATAGGTTGGCAGCTGCTGCTAAATGGGTCGTGGCCTACGACAGTCGACAATAATCGATAAACGGGGAAATTTAACGTGGGACAGGAATGTGGGCAATATGAAGAGGTGTGGGTGGTAGCTCTGTCAAAGGCATTGTTGGCTGTCGTTACCAACTCAACAAATTTACCAGTTTTAAAATTTTTTTCTGCTTTATTTTGCTATTCAGGCGATTAGTATTTGATCTTTGTTTCGAGTTTTACTATAGGCTGCTATGTTATTTTAATGTTTAACTAGCTGTGTACCCGTTCTACGCACGGGGATCTTATAATATTCAGTTGAAACCTTCTTATATAACGAACAGCAGTTGGTTTGCATATTTTAAGATATGCTGGCCAAACTATTATACATAGCTTCATTTTATGTTGTTTTTTGTTGTTCCGGATCGGTATGACAATCAATAAAAGGTTAAATTACCTCTGTGTCTGCCGGTCGATCCTATAACGGTAGGCTTACTTTTATTTTTACTATCTGATCTCGTTTGCATGGCTCAATCACGTCCTGGTTGAAGTTCGTTCGCTACGCTCACTCACCTGTATGTTGGAGCTCGTTCGCTGCGCTCACTTTCCTTCAGGTTAGCTCGTTCGCTACGCTCACTTGCCTTCAGGTTAGCTCGTTCGCTACGCTCACTCGCCTCCAGGTTGCAAATTAGCTGTTGTCATAAATGTAAAAGAAATAATAGTGCTAGTGCTGCACCCTGTTGGTAATCCTTGTAACTTTAATGCTATTGAACATCACAGAACAGAACCAACTTGTTTAATTGAAACAGCTGTTAAGATTCAATAATTTCATTTCTCATAAGGTTAACATGGGCTTCCAGAAATTCCACGTCAAAAATCGACAAAAACTTGATTTTCAAGGGTTTACTGTTAAATATCTAACTGTCTCATATTCGATGAAATACGTCTAAAACCATCTCATATATGTATAGTATTTGGAAAATAAGTTTCAGGCGGGACAGTGCTATAGTTATTGAGGAGTAGTTGTAATAAAGTGCGTATTTTAGCGTTACCAAGAGAATGACAGATAGACAGACAGACAGACAGAAATTGAGATAAGGTTTGATTCGGTTTCTCTGACCTATGAAATGTAAAAATAACCAAAAAGTTCATTATTCTAAGCAATGTACAGACAAAACTCTAATTTTATTTATATAGATTACCATAGGATTCTTGGTTTATTTAATAAACCAACTATTCTTTTTTATTACAATTGTTCAGAGTTGAGTTACCAAGTAAGCAAATGTCAAACTAAATAAATGTATAAAATAAAAAATTATGTAAAATGGCGTTACTGTGCTTACTACGTTCAATAGAGAGCAAAACAGTGTTTTGTCCTACATAAAGAAAAAAAAATGTGATTCAATCTTAGATATTCTTATTGTTATTCCTGTATTTTAGTCGAGGTTTGTTCATTTAACTTGGCTGCTTAAATTAGCTTATTAAGTGAATAGTACCGGGGGACCGAGCCTAATTCGGTTGTAATTAATTGGGTTTGTAGTTAAACCATAGATAAAAGGAGTATATGGTTAAACCCATATCGTAAACAGACATTTTATAATTTACGAAAAACATTTTCATTACAATCGCTTGAATAAGAAGAACTGTGTAATGTAAAAATATGCAATTAAACCAAAATAAGATAAATTTGTATAATCTTGCTTAACTTTAAGTGCTACTTGCACAGAATGTTTCTCAACTCTAGTCATTGTAAACCACTGTTCGATTTTTACACTCAAGAGAGCAGATAAAGACTAGTAATTCTAAATTAAGATTCCGTCTATTTTTTCTTCTTTTTTCATTGGGATTTAGCATGCGGTAATAGTTTATTCCAATAAAACCCCCAGACGAGGAGAGGGCCAAGTAAAATAATCAGGATTTAATCGGAACTATATTCCCCTATATCGAGCAATCTTCAGTGCAATCTTTGCTCAATAGTTACAACTGATGTTTTCCCTTTCTACCGTATTTTTTAATTTGCTAATACATTATACTGTGGATGGCTCATTATAAACACGTGTGACAAGTCTTTTGTTTACCTTTTCCTTGGTATTTTGTTCAACCAACATGGTTACTTGGAAACCCTCAAGTCCAATGTAAAACAATTTTGACTTTCAATTTCATGTTCTACGTAATTAGATTTTGGCAGTTTTTACAGCAGTAAACACGTTTTTAGTCCTGAAATAAACTATATACAACATTTGAAGGAAACCTTTGAAGCCATTTTCGATATATTTGTGCAGCCATAGGCCTACATACAAGCAAACTTTGTTCATATAAGAGTATAGAATAGGATTAACAACAATGTTTATAATATTACGTAAGAAGATCTTTTCGGCTTTGAATCGTGTGCAATTTCGTGTGCAAAAATCGCAACTGTAATACAGTTTATATTATTACGCTACACTGGCATGGTACCTGGTACCACAGTATGTTTTCTGTGCTGGTACCCCCGTGAGAGGCTTGCCGAGTGCAACAAATACGGAATACTGTAGCTCATACAAGTTTTAGATTTATAAGGTAGCAGATTATACTTGTATCCTATTTCTTTGGTAATATCTTTAACAATGGTAATATTATAAATACAAAAACATACTGGTGGTATGGTAATATACAGTACTATTTTTGACTAAATTAGTAAATTGGATTAAACAATTGTGAAGACACATTAAATAAAGGTTTCTCCTTAAATGCTATTTAAATTTAAAAAGTAATCAAATTTGGCCAAAAATATAAGAAATAATTATTTAAAATGAAATATAAATGTGTCATTTTACTTTAAATTTCGAGCGGAGCAATTGAAATTATAACAAAATCCCATTTAAATTAATTGAATTCGTCCTCTGGAAGGTATGCTATAAAAATAAGATCATAATTTTTTTGCAACAAGTTTATAAAACTGGCTGTTTTTGCATAGTTCACCAGTAGTTGAATGCTAAGTCCTGGAGTTTTAGTCAACGTTGGACGCCGTACTACCAACGATGCGGAACGCGCGACTTGACTGTACTGCAAAGAAGAATCAGAAACTGAAGGCGCTGTATATACTTCGCTACGGTATCAAGTAGTTTGATATGCTGTGAAAATTTTATTTAAATCCATTTGGTTTTCATTTTTTGATAAAAAAAATTTGGTTTAAAATTGT